CTTAATGCCTCTTGTGTGCTGTTGGCGAAACTGCAACTATTGAACAATATTGCCAATATTGATCTACTGGGACAGCATCTATCATGTGCGACAGTTACATGTGTTTCGAGTGAAGAGCAACAAACAAAGAAATTAATCTATTTGAAGTCGCTTACGAATCTAGATGACATGCTGTACTCATAGCTATTAAGCGAGGAAGGAATATGATAAGACTCAAAATCGATGTAGCTGAAAGTGTAAAGTGATAAAGCCGCATTTTTCCAACAATTCTAAAAATAGAGTCATCAAACTGCTGGTGATCATTTTCAGAGATAGACATATACATTTCCGGATCAGATATGCCGCTGTTATGTGCTGGTATTACATTGGTATCAGTGTATTTAGTCTGACTTGATTTTGTTGTAACTGTTTCACTAACATGTTTATCTATGTTGAAAACAATCTGCTATTCCAGATATATTTATACATAGATATATATATATTTATATCTATATAATTGAAATCTAAGAGTACATACTTCAAGTGTAAATATACAATCCTTAGTATTCTTAATTTTATGCGAGTTTAAAAACATAATTTCTCAAATGTTGTTGCCAGACTATCGAAATAGAACATCATCATAATTATTGCTTTTCTAAAACAGTTTTAAAAGTTTTACTGCATTTATTAAACGGTTTGTAATGCTTTGCAGCAGATTGTTTGATTTTCTAAAAGTCAACAAATTAAAAATACCAATTGCAAGATTGAAATGCGATTTTTTTTTATCTAATAGAAGCACTCTTAAAAACAAACACATTTTGTTTGATGTGGACAAACGCAACGTGAGCAAAAAACGAAAGATGTCCTTGGAGACCAGCGCTATCTGCTTTAAGCATGTGTGATTCAATAATTTCAGAAAAAGTCACAACAGCAGATTCTTTTCTTCTTTGCCTTCTTCTTCTACTTTAGCCTCCATATCGTGGTACACATCATCATTGGCATTGATGGCGCCATTTTTGTTTTTCCCGCACATTTGTTTGTTTAGCTAGCCAATCTGAGTGTACGTGTGTGTGTGTGCGAGTAAATGTGTGTGTGTGAGTGTGTGAATGTGTGAGAGTATCCTGTTCCCGTCGGCGCTTGTAATGCGACCTGACAAACTTTGTCTGCAGTTATAAGCACTTGTCTGTGTGAGTATGTGCGTGTGTGTGTGTGCGTTTTTTTTCCTGCTTTGTTTTTTTGTTTGTGAGCGCCATCTGTGTGAATCGATCTGTGTTTGTGTGTGTGTGTTGGTGTGTGTTTGTTTGTGTTTCTGTGTGTGTTTACCGTCGGAATTTGTAATGAAAGTGAGCTGTTCATTTGCTTTAAGGTCGCCAAGTGGCCGACGTCTATTTGGGTTTCCCTTCTGTTTTCTCTTTTCCTTGCGCATAAATACGTACATGAGACATGTATTATATGTGTGTATGAAAAGATAAGTTAAAGCTTCACTGTCATTTCTTTTATATAGACATACACACACACAGACACAGTCAAAGCCTTTGCATAACTTGTCATAATGCGGGTCTATGATTAAAATAAACTCCTTATGCATATTACTTACAATTTTATGAATACCAAATTGCAAAAAGACAGCAAAGCGTTTTGAAAGAGACGATTAAAAGACTGCAGTTTGTCAACTCTGCTAATTAGAAGATGCAGCGTGAACAGAGTAGCAATTAGTCGAACATTTTTTCGTGAATTCTTGGTAACTATTTTTGTCACCATACAAGTGGAAATTAATTTTGCGTTTAAATGCGCAAATGTTTTTCATGCTCTTTGTTTTCGATTCAAGGATACCCACAAAAGGCACAATATGATAATTTGCGAGAGCAACGGAGCCTTCAACAACAATGGCGCTCGCAACTGAAACAGAGAGAGAGATAGCAGCAACATCATCAGCAGCAGCAGCAGCAGTTTCCGTCCGGCGTCTGTTGTCTTGGCCTACATAACAAAAACAGTTGCAGCTCACAGGCAGGCAAGGGAAGGCAAAGGGTAGGGGTTAAGAGACAAAAGAGAGAACGTGGCATTAAAGGGCTTTTTGTTATGGGCACACACACACACACTCACATTTATTTTAGAGTTTTGTTGTAATTTTCTTGTTGCTTTTCATTTGACACTCGAGTCATTGTTAACGATTGCCTTCAAATCTTTTTAATTTTATGTTTACATATACACAAATATATCCTCAGTCAGGAAAACAAGTGCCGTTTCCCCTTAACAACACCAACAAATTGGCTTAGCAGGCACATAATGGGAATTTCATTGTGGTCAAAGCGTACCAACACAACTATTTCCTCTCTTTGTTCCGCAAAACTAAAACGTTTTCACCGGAAAAGGCTTTAACTGAATACCTTCCCCTTCACCTCGTGGAGTCGCCTTTGCAGGACCTACTTTGAAAGAACTTCTTACTTGTGTCGATTGTTGAAAAACTGTTGCCACTTATTGAACCGTTTATTTAAATTTTGAATTTGTTTACCTCAGCAGTTCAAGAATTTGTATTATTTTAATGCAAAGTAATAAAATTTTGCTTGTTTGCTGTCGATTCTTGATCACCGGGGTTCCATGGTGTAATGGTTAGCACTCAGGACTCTGAATCCTGCGATCCGAGTTCAAATCTCGGTGGAACCTGATTTATACCGATTATTTTTGTATTTTCAATACAATTTTATATAAAAAGTAGAATAGATCAAGAAAATATTCAAAGCTATTAATAAAAGCAAATCAATTAAATACCGTATCATTATTATAACATATTTTTAGATCTGTTTTGGGCTTATTTGTGTCTTAAAATTGAAAACAACTTCTCCGCTCGTTAATCACATGTATTCTTAACATATTTATAAGTATTTCTGTATGCTGTGCGTTATGAAAATGTAATATTCCAAGCTGGACCCATTACAAATCATAATGACTAAGCCCCTTCATAAATAATGAGGTATACAATCCATGTTTAATTAATAATCAGGTCAGTCCAAACACCTTAATATAATTAAGGTCACAAAACAAGGAGTGATATAAGTCGAAGCTCCAACAGCTAACAATCATAATTGATTTGCAGTGATTTGCAGTTACTGCGACATTTAACAAATATGATTATGCCAACAATTCTTGGCGGGAAATTTATTGCATTGCGATTAAAAAGTGTTTAAAGGTGGTGACCTCTCCGGCACGTGCACGAATTTTGTATATAGGATGGGGATGGGAAAAGTTATTTGCCACGAAATGGTTGCCACAACGGTTAATGACGAAGGCAAATCAACAAAAACAAACAGGGTAAACAAATAAACAAATGCAAAGAGTTGTACTTCGTTTTCATTTTTTTTATTACATATTTATATTTGCATTGTTGTTACTGCTTTTTTTTTTGGATGCCAACAAAAAAATAACCGAGACGCGGCGCGTCCTGAATCAACAATCAACCAGCGGGCTCCGAAGTAAAACCAAAACTGAGCATTTAAGGACATTTACGATTGATTTTATACCGAAAACACGACTCGACACTCTCTCTGCTGCCGTTTTATTGCCATTGGCCATGCTGTGTGCTGTTTGTGACACAGAAAACTTCGTTTTGTGTACAAGCCGAACGAAGCGAACGAAGCGTCCAACACCCGAACGGTAATTCGGAGTAAAAGCTTCCAGGCCATTGCCACAGCGGAGCGCTTTCATATTCCAGCAGGTTGTTTTTTGTTTAGCCCGCCAATTATAATGCTGGCAACACAATGTGCTTTCACTTAATTAGCCTATGCATACAAGATGTGCACATACATATGTACATATGTACCATTTATACGACGGGTGTACATATGTACTATTCTCATTGAAGAGGTAAGTATGTATGTAAAATATTTAAAGTATTTACTTTAATTATTCAAACATATTCGTCTTAAAATGTATTTCATGAAATAAGGCATACGGTAAATGCTTAAATATTTTATGATTGTTGAATAATACGTTATTGAGAATGTTTCCACTTTGAAAAAATTGTTAGGTAGTTGGCTTGGATTTAAATGTCGTTTCGGATCAGAATAAAATTAAAGCAAGCAGAAAAGTTTTGTTTGTTTCAACAGCATTAAACAAATATTCTACATAATTTTGTTAAAGTCTACATAATTTGGTTTTGTGTGTTTTTCTTTGACCGATACTGAAGCTTATAACAGCTTAGTGAAATATGGTGAGTTCGGCTGAGAACTTGGAGTAAAATATAAATAAATATATATACACAAGGTCTTAATTTTAATATATAGAGATCCGTGTTGTGTGATTTGCATACAGTTCAAATAGTGATATATTTTTCCCAACCCATAATATATACATATATAGGATATAAATACAATATGATATCAAAGATCTCTTGATGCGAAGTCACTTGTCGAAAGTTTTCAGTGGCTTTAGCAGATGCCAGAATTTTGGTGATCAGTTTATTACTGGCAGATACAAAACCAATTTGTTACTGAACTCGCAGCATGGTTCCATGGTGTAATGGTTAGCACTCAGGACTCTGAATCCTGCGATCCGAGTTCAAATCTCGGTGGAACCTAGTCAAATACTTTTTTCTTTTATATATTTAAATTGTTTATCGAAAATATTTAAGCTAAATTTATATAAAATAAATTTTACAAGGTATTGAGCACTTTTTATCTATTTCACCATAAATTTTTACTATCTATTTTTTATTGGAAGACCATATGGGTTCCATGGTGTAATGGTTAGCACTCAGGACTCTGAATCCTGCGATCCGAGTTCAAATCTCGGTGGAACCTGAGCTTAGCGATCTTTCCTTTTTTTTTATAAAAGTTACACGTTTCTCGAAATTTATTTACACACTATTGGTTGAAGAGCTTTCGAACTGCAAATACAGAGCATATATACACACACACATTTGCACAGTATACAATGTTTCGAGAATGCATACACACTAAAAATGGTCTTGAAAGCTCAATGGACCGCATTTTTGCAGACTTGATTGTTGTTGTTTGAATTCTTACCTTGATCACGGAACAGTCGCTTGTACGCGAGCCATTCGTCGGCAGTTAGGCTGAGTGGATGTTCCTCGTGACTGTGGGTGTAACGATGCAGCCAGTCTGGATACGATGACCAAATCAATAAAACAATCTTTACCAATGAGACGGTAAACATTAAACTCAACACTATTGCAATCAGCACTTTCAACGAGCGTTTCCACATAATAAATACGCATAATACACGCACAGAGTTATTTAAGTAAATGCAATCAAATCGCGTATTTGGCTAGTTAAACTTAACGCACGCAATTAATTTTAATAAATATTTAATAAACAGACTATTAACTGCTGCGACGCTAGCAGCGCGTCATTTTGCGTTTTTGCAACACTCGTTTTCATGTGCATTTATTTATGACACAACAAAGTGTATTAAATGCTTTTACTGTTATTATTGGTAGCGCAGACGTTCATATTTGTTTATAGACACACACAGAGACATAAAACCGTACAGATTTGCGCAGGCGAATGTTTGTGTTGGTCTGATTGCGTTTTCGTTAAACAGCTGACTGGTAAAGTTGCCATATAGTCATGAGCCAACAATCTGGCAGCACTGAATGCATAACCGATGCACAAACCACTCGACCTACTCAAAAATTATTATGTACATATATTTTTATTTATATAACTTTTTAAAGAAAAATAATACGGTATGTGTGTGTTTTTTTAAGGAGTGTAATAGTATTTTAGAAAAATAGGACAGAAGAAAAAAATATTTATCCCAGGTTCCACCGAGATTTGAACTCGGATCGCAGGATTCAGAGTCCTGAGTGCTAACCATTACACCATGGAACCTCTTTCGATTCCGACGGCAAAAGTCGTAAAGTATTAACGCTTTTACACTGTAACTCAAATAATACCGAATCAGCGAATTTAGTATACTAAAAATACTTTTTAATTAAATTTAAAAAGTTCTAAATAAATGAAAAAAGTAATCGTACTCAGGTTCCACCGAGATTTGAACTCGGATCGCAGGATTCAGAGTCCTGAGTGCTAACCATTACACCATGGAACCTCTTACAAATTGAGTGTCAAAAGCCCAACAAATATATAAGCATCGTTTTCTCCAAGTATTTTGCAGCTAAAAACAATCAAATTAATTTTTCGACAATCTTATTTTGATATTTTTAATATATATTTTATTTATTTTTTTTGTGTGTTTTTTATAAGCATTTATCAGTATAAAAAAATCTAATTAGAATAACCAGCGCGCGCTTATCCATTTCCATTATCACAAGTCCATTGTCGGGGTGGTATTAATCGTCACACTATGCGTAATATTTAGCCGTAGTAGGCATATGGAGAGGCGTATCCAGAGTAGGCAGAGTAGCCATAGGGACTGCCGCCATAATAGAACTGTGGAGCCGGCTCCGGACTGGCAATGGGCACTGGGACAGGTGCAGCACGAGGAACGGGCGCTGGAACAGCCAAGGAAACAGCGAACAGGGCAGCGAACAGAAGAGCGAACTAAAAAAAAAGATATTAAATATACAATATATGTATAATTAAGTCTGTATTAATCTAGTTACCAGCTTGAACATTTTGAGTTTTATTTTTTGGGATTGCTTGTTGTTATTGAAACAATTACACTTTGTGTTTTGATGCTGTCTGCTTGAATTCGGTCTCTATTTATACCCCCAAAAGCGAATCTCATGACTTATTTATGATGACGAAAACAATGTTTTTTTTTAGGTTTTACTTTTTATTTTGCAATTATGGCACTTTTGTTTTCTGTATTCTACTTTGCTTTGCTTTGCTCACGGCATTCTCCAAAGTTGTTGATAGTTTTGTCAGCAATCAAAGTTGCTTTGAATTCTAATTCCCTCTTAACGCCTGCTCAATATTCGGGAACTATATATCTATACTACTATAGATATTACTTGGGCATGTGTATTTTTACCTGTATTGCGTAGCTGGCCTTGAATCCGATTGGTATTCTGATGTTTGATGTTTGAGCCCGCCGTACGACTTCTGTGCAATGCATCGAGCATATTAATTCGCATTTCTTTGGCCAGAACCCATTTGACAGCAATTAAAGTGATTAATGATTTTATTGGCCAAATAAAAGTTGCGGGCTGACAGAAGTCAAATGGGCTCCTCATATTTTTATTATAAATATATCAGACAATGGAGAAAATTAATCAAAATAGCGCAATTAATTAAAGTAACTGTCAAAATTTTAAATAATGTTCATTTTTCAGTTGCTAAATAAAAGTTGAGGAAATGTGTTCCTCTTATTTTTATAATATAAATCGAAGACTGGAGAAAATGAATCTATTTATTGAAAAACCAAAGTGAGAATGCATTTATTAGAAACGATTTATTCAATTTACATAAAAGTGCAACTTTTAATGTTCATTAAACATTTAAACTTTCAATTATTATTAAGATCGATGTCTTCTTTTGACTGTTACAAAGCAAGTAAACAACTTCATGATACCCATTGATAAGTTGAAGAACTTTTATTTATTTTTTTACACATTTGCTAAGCAGATTTGTAGTTAAATCCTAAATGAGTTGACACAAAATTTGGAAAAATACTGTCGTCGCTCCATATTCAATATTTTTTCTTATTTTTGGCAACGAGTGTCGCAGTTGTTCTGTGTGTCATTAGGCTGTCGTTAAAGCCAGAAATTGAAGCAATAAGCTCATCTAACGAGACATGCAAGTTGAATTCAAAATCAATGCAGCCATGATGACAACACACAGTCTAAATTTACAGACACAGCTAAGGGGCGGAACAGGGCTTGAGAGGGGTGGATAAGCCTCTTATGGACGATGATGTCAAAATGCCAAACAAAGTGTTTGTCGACACACATTCTCGAATATAAAAGACCGAATTGAAAGCAATCTCAATCGCAGTCTGTTTCTGTTTGCATTAAAGTCAAAAGCTAAGAAAGAATCTTTCATCATGTTGAAGCTGGTAAATAATACATTTATTAATTGACATTGCATGACGTGAAACGAGTATTTTCTCTGTTGCAGGTGTTCCTGTTGCTTGCAGCCATATTCGCTCTTGTTATGGCAGTGCCAGCTCCCGTGCCTGGACCGAATCCTGCACCCAGCCCACAATTCTACTATTCGGCCGGGTATCCAGTGGCCTATGCATCTCCCTATGTTTATTATGGATAATTTTTATTATAAATGATACATGACAATAAAGAGATTTTACAAGGATATCTGAAAAATTATAATATAGCGTAGTCTGATGAGCTTTATTTTGGACAGCCTAAAAATATGCAACGAAAAGTTTCACTAACATAAGACAGAAATGTCTGGTTGTTAACCGCCATCTATCTGTCGTGTATGATAATGCAAACTTAAAACAAGGCACCATCTATGGGCCAGTTTTAAAATGACTTAGGATAAAGCACCATCTATGTAATTTAAATAACTTCTGTGTACTTTAACATGAGGTTGCATCAACCCCATCTATGGTACTTAAATTTATGGATACCCAAACTTGGTTTTATGTGCCAACGTGTGGTGAATAACTTTGTGCTACACATTTCTGTTATAATTATAGAGACAGAATATGAATCAAATCCGTTATATCCTGTATAACAACACGCAAAAAGCACACCACTTCCCCAACGTCCTAAGGTCGAAAGCTTAAAAAGCTTACGCGGCCATCAATTCCCCTGTCAACATTTTCGAATGTTGGGCAACATTTTACCAACATGTGGCCCAAAGAATCCTTTTCGATATGATGATGTTGTATGTTGCCCATTTGGGGTGACGACATGTTGTCTATGACGAGGCGACGAAAATAAAGGATTCCAGAAGAGGCGAAAGGACCTTCAGTACAATTTCTGATTTCGCACTGATTTGAGCAAAGCAGCAAGCAGCCAGCGAAATCAACTGTAAGTTGAAGTCGCTAACTGTAAAGTCGCCGACGTCCTTGTCGTGCGCCCGACGAGCACCGCTTATCACGCATCCTGTTTCTGCTTCTGTTTCTGTTTCGGCCAACGCGTGTTGGTCTCAGTTCAATTTTGGCGCTCGCTTGCAATGGATCACGAATCGCGAAATGCGCCAAGGACATCATTATCGTCATCGATGGCAACTGAATCGCGGCCATTAAAAATAGTTTTTGCGAGTGTCTAAAGACAAAAGGCACTAAGCAAAAAAAAAAAAAATCATTTGTGCTGAGGCTAAGGATATGTTGCCGGAAATGTCATCTCAAATGTGTACAACTTCTCGGCCAAGTGTTAGTGTCTAACAAGAAAAAAGCCAAAAAAGAATTACAAAAAAAAGCGAAAAAGAAAACGAGAACTTGGCAAAAAAAAATATTATTATGATGATGGTGGCATCGTCTGTGTTATTGCCTTGGCGATGATGTCATGCCGCTGTGTCCACCAAAGTGAAAGTGCCGTTGTTTCTGTGGCCGTTGCTGTTGCTGTTGCTGTCAGGCTCGTTCCGTCTCCTGACGGCACATGAGTAATCATTTTGGGCCACTCTCTTGCCTACTCGAGAAATACTTACAGCCAGCGCAAGTCTAACCTCGAACGGATTACAAATCACAAACAACTCGTCGACAGAAACCACACACGACACACTCACACACAAACCTATAATGGATATTTTCATTTTATTTTATTGCCTGCTGCAATTGGCAAGAAATTGTAAGTACTAAAGAATATATATATAATACATATTAAAAGCTCAATTTTGCAAAACAAGAATGAAAGAAGTTTTGTTAATTTTTATGACTGGCATTTCAATTAGCCGAAAGGATACAAGTGCCAAATTATGGTAGCCTGGTCCCAAAAGTGTTCATTGTTTAACGGTCGTTTGACACAGGTGGCAAAAAGTGGGTGTGTCAATTATATATGTTTCATTACATTTTAATCACAAAATTTAAAAATTTAAGTTTGCCCCAAATTTTTACTAAATCATTCGTCGAAAATTTTAGTCAACCAACAACCAGATTAGTTAAGATATGGCGTGAGCCTTACTATGGACCAAATCTTTAATTCATGCCACATCTATAAATATTTGTGGATGCAGTTACAGTAAAACCAAAGGAAAAAACCCGTATATGTAGTAGTCGAACGCGCATCTCTGTTTGGATATGCAAAACGTATATTTTTGTTTGGGAATGTGTACAAAAGAATGTGGGGCAATTCAGGATTTAATTCAAACCGCAACCAAGTTGAATATGCTAGAAAAAACCACTTTGAATTTGCCGTTCTCAATCCATCTGTCAATCCGGTTACTTATTTTTTAAATAACACAACATTATTTACAATAATTTAGCGTAATAATGCATAAATTCTTCTAATTCTAATATTCGCAAATATAGGACAACAATAAACATATTGGAGCTAATTTGAATTCAATTAAAATAGACACACGTCTGTCATTTCCAGTTTAATTTAAATTTGATATCGTGAGCCAAACATTATTTGTGGTTTAGCAATGAGCCTTAAATAACAAAATATTGTTCCATCATTTGGCAATACATTGTTTGGCTTTTGTTAATAAGAGTCTGGCCCAAGAGATACCGCGTAGCCAGCCAGGCCTAAAGCACTCAACGCATATTCCCACTGAATTCAGTCTATTTGCATATCAATTTATGCAAATCTATACACACACACCTAACACACACACACACACACACACGCACACACCCACACACACACACTCCCACACCATCTTAATTCGCTCTAAGATGCTGTCTTTGAGCAAAAAAATCATTTCTTCTTATCGTTGACTATTGTATATAGTTTATTGAATGGCTTCTGCAGAGAAAATACTACAGAAGAATAATAAAATCTGAATTTGATATTAATAGAAAAACAATTAAGAGCACTCTAGTCGAGGGAGTAAGTCTCCATATATTTTCTTCTGTATTTTCTTGGGAAAATATTTTAATTTTAATTTTGTGTCCCATTCCCAACCATCTGATAATTTCTAATCTGTCTTTAATGTATTTATATTAAATAATTCATATTATAATTTCTAATCCCTTAAAATATTTTATTTGTAAGCCCAATCTTTAAGGCTTCATATTAAATAATATACATTATAATTTTTAATCTCTCCAAATTCGTAATTTCAACTCTAAACTTTGTATATTAACCACAAGAAAACTATAACCTGCCAAGTCTAAGGATCCAGTTAATCATATTTTTTCTTAATGACAATATTCTCGTATAGTATAGTTGGTATATATAGTAAAATGTTATCTATATTCCAGTAAATTAATTGTAATTGTTAATTAAAAACAAGGATTTACAAAATAGGTGCCTCAGTCTCTGAGATCGACAGACGTCTAGATTAGTTCGTCTATTTGAACTGTTGACAAATATAAATACCTTATAAAAATGGAGATGATATCCTCTGAATATTGCATAATGCTGCTCATCAATTTCAAATGGATACATGTTATTCAATGTAATATTAGAAATGTCACAGCTTGTGTCTTCAGCATCATGCATGCATATCCAATTATGCAAATGTTAAGTTGGTGCCACATTTGACTTCAAGTATTCCTTTCTTTCAAATGAAACGTATTGAATTTCATCAAATTTGTAGCATATGCAAATAATTTACTCTTCACGTTTTTTACTGGGGTTAACGATTGCCACAGTCAAATTGGTTTCTATTCCAGTTTAGGTTGGGAAATGGTGAAATTATATGATTTTTTCACATTCTTATCTACATTTTAAGTTCAATTATCTATTATATTAATTGTCACAACCCATTTAAAATATGAAGATTCTGAATGAAGAATAGACAGAAGCATTTAGCTTAAATACATTTTCCTCTTTATTATATCCGGAACCTATTTATTTAAAATTGAAAGGAAGGTTTGATGTGGAAACGTGTGGAAAGTAGCAGGCAGACGAAAGCATCAACCAACCCAATGAAGTATATGTATATATACATATATATATATATAGAGATCAGCATCAATATCAGAGTCGATATAGTCGATGTATATGTGCGGAAACCCGTCTGTCTATTTGTATAATCAAGCCGATCTCAGAGACTTGAAATTTGAAATACAACCAGCATTTTCACTGTCTGCATAAAACCTCAACTTGTTTTATATGATATTAAGTCTAATTCGCTTCCAAAAAGTATAAACTTGTATATGTAACCATACCCTATTTATTTTATAGTGGGTTGGATTGTATAAGTTCTTGTAATATATTGCACTAATATCAGAAAGACTATTATAAATATTTACTGGGAGACTGTACTGGGTACAGGGTATCTGCTAGTTGAAGCTTTGACCTGATAATCACCTATAAATATGGAATAAATCATATTTATACATTGATTTTAAGAATTGTAAGTAAGCCAAAATTTAATGAGCGGAAATTATTTTATGCAGCCAATTGAAAAATATAATTTTTGTTGGCCATAATTTATAATTTCATTTGATGTGCACAAAATAAATAAGTTACGTAATGGGCCATAGTGCTTCTGCCAGCCAAAAATTTTAGCGAGGCAATAAAGAGCGTTGGTGGACTTCATTTTTTATGACCTTGCATTTTTACAGCAGCTGCAGTTCTTGCAGTTGGGCAGCCAGAGAGCTACTCCACCGGGGGAGTGGGCGACATCCTGTCGCAGTCCCTACTCACGCTAACGCCATCGACGCCATCAATAACGCATTTTGTAAATGACTCCTTCATCATCTTCTGTAAAACAGTACAAAAGGATGCTGACACCAAATGGCGTGATCCCAGGGGCCTGGCCCGTGAGAATACCAAAGGACGCGTTCACATCGAAAAGAAGACGGGTAAGTGAAAGTGCCGATGTGTGAAAGACTTCCCCTGCAATCTCAGACAGCTCATAAATGCCACGAGGAGTCAAGCTGCTGAATATCGAACATCCAACATCCAAATCCATATCACATCAATTTCCTTCCACTTGCAACTTTTACTTAGGTTCACTTGCTCTGGTTTTTGAACACATCTCGTTGGAGGATAAGGGTAACTGGACCTGCGAAGTCGATTCGGCTGCAGTGCGAGAGGCTAAAAGGTCCTTTGAGCTGCTTGTAAATCGTAAGTTGACAAGTTTGACTAAGAAAAATGACTGAGTGATGGTTTCCATAAAGATAACTTCAGCAACAATCAATCAATATTATCCTATTGTATATTTAGACAATGAATGTGTTATCCATTATCCGATCAAGCAGTTTGTTATACATACACTCGGAAAAAAATCGCACTGAATGTTTAGGTATATGTGAATTCTGAAAAAACCAGGAATTAAGAAAATAAATACGATAGTTCTTAGAGAGACACATCCTGCCAGTATAGAAATATATTCTGCGATGATTTTAATTTAAATTCAGTCCGATTTTTCTTCGAAATGAATGCTATGATTTGTGTGCATGATGCATGGTAATAGAAGATAATACACTACATGAAATACTTGTGATTCCTGATATTCTATATTAACTCCACTGGCAAACAGAGAAAATCTCATTTGGCAAGACGGAGCAGGTGCAATCGGTGCGCGAGGGACGCGATGCGATGGTCAATTGCTTTGTGAAGGGTCAGCCCATGCCGGAAGTCTCTTGGATGCTAAATGGCGAACACATAAACAGTTAGTAGCACTCAATACACAAACACACACACATACACCACACTACTGCCACATACTCATGCCACCTCCTCTCCCCTTTTAGCTGTGAACTCGACGAAACACAGACGGCTGTCGGATGGACTGTTCATCAGGAATGTGACTCAATCAGATGCCGGCGAGTATACATGTCGTGCCATGCGAATAACACCCACTTTTTCGGATTCCGATCAAATAACGATACTCCTACGGATACAACGTAAGTGGCAAAATAAAGAAAAGACTTTGACTGCATGTGAAAACTCCTCTCCAGCTCTGCATGTGTTGTCAACGATTCCCACTCAATGCCTTTTTCTTTTTACTTTATTTGGAAAAGTATTCAAGTATTCTATTTATATCTGGCTGTTGTTCCATCACACACAATTGTATACACTTCCAGTTTTTGATATTTGTCAAATTTTTGGCAAACCCATTAAATGTATTTAAGCACGCTTCGGTGGCTTTAATGAGTTTCTCCCACGCTCGAAGTGCGCCATGGAAATGTTGAGTAGCTATGGCATTAATGGAATTTAATTATAACCCATCATATTTTGCCAATAAGCCCCTGAGCATATGCAATTAATCGAAGATATCCAATTATTGACAAGTGCTTACAGCTTATCGCTCAAAAGATGTCCAAATTGTAATTAAAATTGTTTGCCCAACTATTTTTGCCTAATTCCAAATATGGCCTTCTTACATAAGGAACCTCTCAATTACTTAAACCGTTGTACTAGCAGGCGGATTAAGGATGATGGCCAATGGGCCAAGAACGGCGTCATGAGTAAACCATCAATCATATGCATTGCTGTCTAAATTTAACTAACGACTACCGACTACCGACCATCGGAGAAACTTAACCGCTTACCACCCTGCCCTGGCATCCTGGCATCCTGGCATCCGCTTTTCATAGTCCGGATTGACCCTCAGCTGGGTATGCTTGAAGCCTACCCTCTGAAAGGCAAATAGCAGTCAATGGAATGCCAAACTAATTTGTTGCCCAGTTGAAATGCTGAAATGTTGCAATGCTGTTGAAATATATAGATGGATATATATGTATGTTTGCCTTTCCTGAGCAATAAACATCATTGAGTCCCACTGAGGACGTTTGCAAGGACAACGGCAAAATGCTAAAATGTGTCATCAGCTTACGCTTGAATGGAGCCGTTCGCTGGTTGTGCTTTGGGCCACGCTTAAATACTGGATGCAAGCTGAACAAATTCTAACTGATGTCCCGTGAGCAGCTTCAGTTGACAAACTGCATACGAGGTTTAACTGTGCCCCAAGTTGCCTCTGATGTGTGCACTGTGAAAATATATGCATTTCCTCTAGTATTGATAAAATTACACTTTAAAAACAAAAATCTATTTTTTTTTAGTAATGTTTTCTTAATTTTTGTAAATGGTTCAACTAAAAGTAGAAACCAATTAATTAATATTGTTTGAATATGGCATTATTTATGCTCTTCAGAATTACTTTCTTAAATATTATTAAATTTCTGCAAATAAATTACTAAAAAATAATCATAAATCATAAAATATAATGAATTTCAAAATGTTTACTATATTTTTGATAAGAATTAACCAAGAAGTAACGTTTTATATTTTTTATTATATTATTCATTTGTTCAATAATACTTTCTTATACTTAGAAGCATTTTAGTCATTTTTAAAAACCTCCTTTCTTTAATACTAAGAATTGAACAAATTGCTCCCGTGGCATATTTTTCGATGAGTGTAGTCAAACACAACCAGCTGAACTATTATGCAGGCTTAGGAGCAAATTCAACCCAATATTCCGCTCAAACACATCCCTTGACCATCGTTGCAGACAAACCTCACTGGTTCTACAATGAAACTCTCCCGCTTCAGTACGCCTATGTGGGCGGCTCCGTCAATCTTAGTTGCGATGCGATGGGAGAGCCGCCACCATCATTTACATGGTTGCACAATGGCAAAGGCATTGTCGGTTTCAATCATCGCGTCTTCATGGCCGACTATGGGGCAACGTTGCAGCTGCACATTCGCAATGCCACCCAGTTTGGAGACTACAAATGCAAGGTGGCTAATCCGCTGGGCATGCTCGAGCGTGTTATTAAGCTGCGCGTGGGGGCAAAGCCAATTGGACCAACCCGTTTCCAGCTTAAGCGTCTCTATTCGGATGCCTTCGAGCTGGACCTGCGTACGCCTCGAATGTTCAACGTTTCCGATGAGATGCAAATCTTTGGCTATCGTGTTGCATACATGAGCGACACCGATTTCAAGTACAGTGCTGGAAACTGGAGTCATGCCAAGCAGCGCGACTTTTCCTTCCATCGTGGTAAGTCTTCGTAGTCGAGCTCACTCGACTCGACACTCTTATTTCTGTTATTTATTGTAATTGACAAAAATATATCTCCGTTTGCAGGACATCGTTTCATTATACCGCATCTGGAGGGTAATACGACCTATTTGATGCGGGCTGCATCTCGCAACTTGGCTGGACTTAGCGAGTGGAGTAACGTGAAGATATTTGCCACTGCTGGCTGCCCAAGTTGGAAGCCGCATTCGTGGTGCTTCCACATCCTGATGCCGATCATTGGACTCGCTTTCATTTGGCGTTAGGTTCTCAGAGTCAACTCTAGCCTTAGTTAGCTTTATATTTTTAATATTATTGTTGCTATTTGTGTGTACCTTGTTTTTATGTATATCTTCTGTGATAGAGGTTTTTGTGCAATTTACTTATCCAAATATGGAAAATGCTTAACTAAGTTCACCCATTGCCAATTACGCTGCCAACATTCTGTGTTTCGTAATCATCTAGTTTGGTTTCTTTTTGAAAAGCGACGTTTGAAGACAAACCAATGGTATAAATACATATTATATATAAGTACATATTCATTGTCAACTCTACATTATACTAGTTGAATGTAATTAAATCTTGACTCTACATCAATGTTGTTCATGCAAAATAAATTAATTTATAGATGTAAGATGTACGCATAAAAAAAAGACAGGAAAAGAAAAATAAACTCACTTTGATGAATTTTACAAAAGTCCAAATTAATGAAACAAAATAAAGCCTTTTAGATGGAAGGTATAAAGAGCATATGTGTAATGAAAGGAATAAATAGCATAGCGAATAAACAATAAATGTGCATTCATATAAGCTTAATTTAAATGAATGGAAAATAAAATGCAAATAAATATAGCTGATAAGCCGAGTGTATGAATAATATGGAAATAAAAAACAGTTGAATGTGAGAAGTCATCGTTTTCATTTTTTAATTGGTTTGCTTTACATTTCCAGATGCCTTGTCCAAGCCCTGAACTGGCTTTCAACTTGTTTGAATTAAATAGATTCAGATTCGATGACGCAGGTTGGTTAAAATTGTATCATTGCCAATTAAACAGGTCAGAGCAGAAATAAGTGCGTACAAAAGCTATTCACCAATTTCCAGTGTTCGTTTTCAAGATGAGCGGTTAAGCGTCGATAAAGCTGATTACTTGGCTCGATGATAATTGAAAAGAAAACGCTTTTGTACATATCATCTGATCCACAGCAACTTAAGAGGATTTCGTAATTATAAAAGTCAACGTTATGTTCCCGTGGAGCACATCCATTCCATCCGAGCAGTAAGCATCTGGCACTGCAAACAGGGCACAATGCATCTACGTGGCCATCTTCCATTATTCACGATTACCACATGTGCATCTCATTCTCCTGTGCACACTTTATGCTGCCGTTAATCCTTTTTATTGATAATACCCACACACACGCACACACGCACACACACACGCACTCACGCACGATATTTGTTGGCACTTTTGACCACGTTCGTTGGACAGCCAAATGGAAAAAAAACAGCGTAAAAAAATATTATTACTCGGCCATCGAGCTGCATGCAATGGCGGATTGTGTGCATGGCCAACTCATATCACTTTGGCCAACTCATATCACTGGCCGCCGTTAACGTTAAAGTTTATTTTAATTAAAATTTACAAGTAATATTTAATAAGTCAGTCAGAATGAAATCAGGACACATGTGCCATGGGCTTCAGCCGTCAGTCAATGCATTTATGTTGATGAACACCAAAAAAGAACAAGTATCTCAATTGCATGATTTTAATTTTAAGCCGATCGAAAGTCGCTTATTATCACAAAAGATACAAAGTATCTGAATCACTGAATCACTACAAGCAGAAGCTCTCGAGTAGAATGATCCCGCATTGCCGAACGCATTCTGTATGTAATTGAAACATGATCCAATGTCTGATTATATATTTCTTATATGTATTGCTTTCTTATCTGTTCTACTATCTCTGTTAATAATTGCGTTGTCGAAGCTACAGTTATTCGTAATGTGCTTCTTTTATCGGTTACGTAATGTTGTGGAAAATAAAAAATAAGGACATGAAAAAGCATTCGGTAACGCATACTTTCTGCATTGATTTGTAGCAGCGAGGCTTATGCAAATGGGTTGTGATATGGATTCGAAGCTTAACTGGCTACAAAGTATATCCATAATAGGGTATTTAGGTTCTGTCAAAAAAATATTGCAAAATATTGTGTAAACATTGTGAAGCTCATCATAGGAAAAATCATTAATTAAACTGCAAGTCATCGCATCGACAAACCATTCATCTGCCAATTTGGCGACTTTGATGATTGGTTTCATAAATGCGCAATAACTTATTTATGAGACGCAAAACCAATAAGCCCAACCACAGAAATTGCAAATTGATTGCGGCTTTCCTCTTTGCAAGATGAGTCCTTTGAGTGCTCATATGTATAAATATCATAAATTGTGACTTTTGTTTGATTCTTGTGTCAACGCAAGTCAGGCCCAAAAATATACATATTTAGCTAAATGTATACAAGCAAAGATAATTAATTATTAATTAACAGACGGATACTTTGCGAGAATGAAAGCACTTCCGTGAGTAAAAAGTAAAGTAAATACTTTATTTTTCCACCATTGCCAATTTTTAAGCACTGAATTTAATAAATTGGCTTGTAGAGTACTTGTTGAGAGGCGTAAGAAAAAAGTCGTCATCCGTCAAAGTCAGCCTGAATTTTGCTGCTACATTCAGCTGTCTTTTCAGTCTCCCCATTTCCCCCGCATTTCCTTTTGTTTAACCCGGCTCACAAAACTTTTGTACCTTGACGACTTTTTAAGTGCCAAAATGTGGAGCAGAAGGAATATGTAAAACACATTGAAAAGTGTTATGAAGAGCGAACGAAAGCGAATCTCCTGCAAATATGAAATATGCCAAATTCAGCACGTGTTTTTGTGGGGTTGAAAGGGCATTAAATATGTCAGTGGGTCTGAGAGTCATTCATTGAAAAGTATTACATTTTTATAAATGGAAGGAAATGCTGCTGCTGCTTTTGTCATAAGTAAAAGAGCTATTCAAGGGCATACCCAGCGTATCCTCTTGAGGTACTATTGTGAAAAACTTTACTTTGCTTTAACTCTATCCAATAAGTCAATCAGTCAGCTACAAGAAAACCAAATATTATAAAATTATAATTAATCGATTTTTAATCATGTACATTTTGCACCCGGTGCTTTGTACAACACTTTGGCATCATTTGCTCTCATAGGCAAATAAGGCCACATTAAGAATTGAAATGTAATTTGTTATAATTACACCGTGATACCAGCTGTTTGGACCAGAACACCAGAATGTCAAACATATTAAGAGTAATGTATCCTCATTTGATTAATTTTAATAAAATTACATTACATTACATGTACATGCAGTCGTGCAACCCAATCAGATAATCCGCAGAATATGGTCACGGTGGTAATGGTAACGTTATCCTTTTCACATATTTTTTTAAAAGCCATTCATAATTGTCAGCGTCAGCCTGTAGTTGGTGTGCCTGATACCAGGAAAAAAAAACTCCACGGGGTAATTTAATTAAGGTAAATATGTCGTATTTTTCAGCCTTTGAAATTAAATGATTTGATATAAAAAACACTATTTAAATTCCTGCTAAGCGTCCGTTCATGCTGCTATTCATGCAATAAACAAAATAGAGAAAGCCCAAAGAGAAGTAAATAGAAGAATATATAAAATTCTCTTTGATGGTTTTTTTTTTGCTCTACGAAAGCTATAAAGCAAAACAAGTGTCGGTTGAGACAGATAGCGATCGCGAAGGCGTTCCCCCGCAAACCGAATAGCGGAATTTCAAACCAAAGAGTGAAACATTATCTCTGTATTTTATTCATATCGCTTTTGTGGAAGATTTGCCATTGTGTGGGAACTGATTCTCTTATAAATATGAACATGACGCCAGCGTCAGTGTCAGACTGACTGTTCCCGTTGATATCTGCCCGCATTTATGTACATGTTCTATGTCAGTGTGTATGGGGTATGTAGGGACTGATGAGCTTTCCACGTACTCTTCTTTATTTCTAATTGAATAATTACGTGAAAGTGATTTACAATTTTCATGAATCTTTTCATATTGGTCTACAAAACTCAAGTGATTTCAAATATTGTCAAAATATAAAATTTTACAAATTAAAATGCAGAATCGATATGTTTAACTACTAAATGAAAGATTTCTAAAAACAACATCTAACATCTATAATCGCACGATTCTTATTAAATCACTGTAAAATATTTAATTTTTTGCATACATATTGCATTTTACATACATACAAATGTATGTATGAACATGTGATAAGGAACTGATCGAAAGCAGACGTGATATAACGGTATATAATTTTGTTTACTGTTTACCGTTGTGTATCACTATATACATAGCACATACATGTACATACATTTGCCGCTTGATTTTGCACAACTTTGCGACTATTCTTATCAGAGCATTCGTGACATCACAAGTAAATATGTATTTTGCTAAAATCGCTTAGTCAGCGCATCGGCTGCGTAGTCTGTATACACAAAGAAGGTTATCAATAATCTGCTTGACTGATAAAGCAATTCTTGTGGCGCAAAAAAATATTAAAAATATTGCTTGATCAACGATTTATAGTTATAAGAGAAATGGAATCTGATTGCTTAAACATTTTTACAGCTATTATTGGAACATGAGCAAGTTGTGACGCTGTAAACTAAGATTGGTCGGTTTCTTTTCCATTTCATCTTTTTTCATCACTCATTTGCATAAAGCGGAAAAAGCAATAAAGTGCAAACAAGGCGAATCATTGATAATGATAGCAGGCCTACAAATATAGCACGCCCTCGGCAAGCCATACATAGTCATATAAGTTAATTTTTTTCTCTTTATTTTAAATTAGATTACAATAAGAGTAGATTCATGCAAATTTAACAGTTTCAAGAGAACGTTCCAACAATCATCGCTTATTGTATCTTGGCGGGTATTTCAACACAGACAATATCCACACTGTTCTGGTCCTGCAGTTCCCATTTGACGAGCACCGAGACTTTTGGATAGCTCTTCAGCACGGGTAGCCTGGCCGTATATCGATACGTCTCATTCTTTTCCAACGGACATTTCAAGCCGCTGTTGACGCACGCATCGGGATTGCTCAGGGGAAAGGGCATCTCGATGCCCAACACCTTGCCATGTACCACCGTCTTGACGACTGAGGCCACTTCGGCCAGAGCGAAATCTATCGATATTGAGACATTCGTATTTCTTTGGAGAACACACTCCGTTTTTGTTGTATCACAGCCTTCGATCGTGATTTGCGTGAATTTTCCAGTTTTTGAGCCGCAGTCGTGAAATTCAAGTGCTGCTCCAAGCTGCAGTGCCAAGAGCAGCGACACGATAAGCACGCACAGTTTAAACATGAGTCTAATTTCGCTTAATTAAATTACAAGTACAGACGTTAATTAACTTAACGTACTTGACTCATATATTTCCTTCTCTGCGAGGGCTTAGCAACAACTGAATTAAGAAAAGCAAGGCGACACAAGCAAGCCACATCAGCTGCGCGCCTCACGCACGAAATGAGCTTTGTATCGATAAGCATATCGATATCGGAGAGTCTCTGTAAATGTAACAGACATGAGCTTTCAAAAATAATATATTAATTGATAAAGTTGACATTTGTTGCATATATAAAAATTGATAAAGTTGACATTTGTAATTCGTAAAATCTTCTAAATTACACAATAAATTTCTATTGATATTTTTTTAATTCTAATAAATTGTTTACAGTTTACATTTACTTTAACAGTTCGCTGATGTCGGCTCGATGTATTGCTTAATTTCCCATCACTATCAGAAAGCTTCTTCTACGGATTCCAGTTGGCCTCTGGTTAGATTTACTTTAGCCGCAGTAGTCGCAGCATTTTGGCGGCACTTAAAACAGTTTTCGCTTTATTGATTAAATATTATTTACATCAGTACTAATTAAAAAATGTCGCAGATTTGTCAACGAAGCTTGGTGGCAGCAAACCGAATTGCAATCAGCTCACCGGCTGCTGTTCTCCGCTGCAAGTAAGTCTTGATGTTTGTTGCACTCAATTGTGTTGTACTTGCTTAATGTAACACGTTGCAAGGCAGTGTCATTTGCCAAGGTCATTGCAAATGCCGGTTTATTTGTTCTTTACAACTGTATGCGTGTGTGTGTATGTGTATGTGTTTATAATGCATGCATTTGTGTCTCATACTGGATAATTTGATATATTTGTTTTTCCTATAAATGGCAGACTTTTTTCCATTATGTCAGCCTGTTATGCATGAGCTACAATGAAAAATGATTCGTATGATTTTGTATACCATGTACTTGTTTACTACATATAGCATCTATATACATATGTTATATTCATACGAATAGATGCAAATCTTTTAAGATTGCAATATCCTCTGCGACTTTTTAATCTCATATGCGATAAGGAATTAGCACAAAAACATGTATATGCTCGTTTATGTATCTGGTGCGCATTTTTGTACATATGTATATATGTATGTATATATACAAACATATGTTTATGTATTTTTCCAGTGGAATGCATGCTTTTTTGTCTTAATATTGTGTCATTTTTTACAGGGGTAAAATAAATTTGGCACAATTGAAAGTGAAACATATTATGACGCAAAAATTATATACTATTGTGAAATATATGTATACATATTTTATTCAATTTTAACTTATATTTCTCATAAATTCAGTTTGAATTGCTATCATACACTCGACCCTGACTTGATATCATATCACAAATCTGTTTCCTTTGAGTTTGATTGAATTTCATATGGTGAAAATTCTTAAGTAATTTCCGTTGGAAAAAAACCTGGTAGTTAATTAACGAAAAATATATGTATATAATGAGAACCAGCTTAGTTCGAAGTCCGAGATATTAATTTATTTTTGTATGCGTTAGTTATATGGTTTACGCCTATCTCGATCCCAGATTTAAATAATATGCAGACACATTTATCTTTATAAAAAAAAAGATAGAGAAAAATTGAGTATTAAAGAAGGCAATCAACCTCTTATCTTCAGTCGCGATTGGCTGTTGTCCGTCTCATTGAACTGAATTAAATGCATCGAGGTTTGTTTACAGCAGATTGCGATAAGCGATACGCGATCTATTTACGAGCATCAAACCCCTGCTGAGACAACTCGTCAGTATTCGAGTGTGAAAAGTTTGACTTTTACCTGTACTTGACTTTCAGACTAATGCATTCCAAAGTATCAAATGGAATTCTTAACTAATCTAGTTATTGAAGTGATTACCGAAAAGAAAATTAGCTACTTCTTAGATAAGTTCCGAAAACAATCGTCTACGAAAATGAAGAGTGACAAAAAAGTAAACTCAGGGCAATAAAGTCAAAACATAATCACAAGACGTTGTAAAGATAGTTTTTTGCATTCAAAGGCTATAATGAGATGGTTTAATTGCGGGACAACAAATTGTAAAGTTTTTTTTAGAGAAAATCGCTGCCAATCTAGTCAGTCTGATTGATTGAGATTGCGGCTTATATTCGAGGAGCAATGATGAAGAAAAATCTCAACAAATGTGGAAGAACCTTCGTGGACTTAAATACAGTTTAATCCAAATAATAATTCCATCTATACTCTGAATTTAAGTTATTTCTCAATATACAATGTATGTATATGTTTGAGATGATGTTTGAGGATTATTTTCAGAAAATTCGCATGGCATCAAAGCAGGTACTGACTTTGCCTTATTTTATTTTCAGATCCACATGGTTCTCCGAGGTACAAATGGGTCCACCGGATGCCATTCTGGGTGTTACCGAGGCCTTCAAGAAGGATCAAAATCCGAAGAAGATCAACCTTGGAGCCGGTGCCTATCGTGACGACAACACCAAACCCTTTGTGTTGCCCAGTGTGCATGAGGTGAGTGATTCCCATCTTATTATCACTTAAAGATTATCCACTAAACTGTTCTTTCTTTCAGGCTGAGAAACGTATAGTGAATCGTGGTATGGATAAGGAGTATGCAACCATTATTGGTGTGCCAGAGTTCTACAACAAGGCAATCGAATTGGCTCTGGGTGCCGAATCGAAGCGACTGCAGGCGAAGCACAATTGTACCACACAGGCGATCAGTGGCACTGGAGCATTGCGCATTGGCGCTGCTTTTTTGAGCAAGTTCTGGAAGGGTAATCGCGAGATTTACCTGCCCAACCCGTCGTGGGGCAATCATGTGCCCGTTTTCGAGCATGCTGGCCTGCCGGTGAAGCGTCATCGCTACTATAATCCAAAGAATTGCAATCTGGACTTCAATGGCATGGTCGAGGATCTGAAGGTAAGCTAAGCAATCCCAAAGAGAATGTATTCTAATTGTGACGTACGCAGAAAATCCCTGAAACATCTGTGGTGCTGTTGCATGCCTGCGCCCACAATCCAACTGGTGTGGATCCCACTGCCGAGCAGTGGCGTGAGCTTTCTCAGGTATTCAAGCAGCGAAAGCTGTATCCGTTCTTCGATATGGCTTATCAGGGCTTTGCCACTGGAAACGTTGACGGTGATGCTCAGGCGGTGCGCATCTTTGAGGCCGATGGTCATGATTTCTGTTTGGCGCAAAGTTTCGCCAAAAATATGGGTCTATATGGGGAGCGCGCGGGCGCCTTCTCCGTAATCTGTGCCGATGAGCAGGAGGCGGCACGCTGCTTATCACAGATAAAGATTCTCATTCGTGCCCTCTACTCGAATCCACCAATTCATGGAGCGCGCATCGCTTCCGAGATTCTTAATAGTGCCGATTTGCGCAGCCAGTGGCTGAAGGATGTGAAATTGATGGCCGATCGCATTATTGATGTGCGCTCCAAGCTCAAGGCAAATCTGGAGAAACTAGGCTCCACGCACAACTGGGAGCACATTGTTAATCAGATCGGCATGTTTTGCTTCACGGGCCTGACACCGGAGCAGGTCGATAGCCTGATCAAGAATCACAGCGTTTACCTGACCAAAGATGGTCGCATTTCCATGGCTGGTGTGACCAGCAAGAATGTTGAGTACCTGGCTGAGAGCATGCACAAGGTGACAAAATAAATCCAGCTGGTAGTGGATGGACATGGTTAGAAACCACTTAGCGACACCTGATCTACAATTATTTTTGATAACATTCAATGACAATACAAAATTGTATTTGCTCCTGAATCACACTCTCTCTGTACATACACGCTATAGATCTGCCTTGAAAAAAATAAAGCATTTTTAATGATACATATTGAAAAATAGAAAATACATAATATGTGTGATGTCTTCAATACACTTAGCATATCAATAATTGCCCAATAAAATATATAAATAAATGTGCGCATAGTACATCAGTTATGTGAATTTCCCTTTATTCTAACTAATATAAATAGAAAGACAATTCTTAATTCTACAGCCCAAATAGTTAGTCCGTGTTTTTTTTATGAATTTTCGATATCCATATCTCTGATATTTATTCTTACAAACTCAGCATTTGGTTTAAAGTTGATTTCAGCTAGCTTCTTCTGTCTGTCTGTCCAATTGGATTATACTTATGTAATTTGTTGTCTTTGTATGTATTATATAGAACTAGAATCACGGTTTGTTATAACGATATCTTAACTTATCGTTTGGCTCACAGTACTCCTTGATAATGAGCTTGCACAGGAATATATGGAATACTACGATTATTGCACACACTGACACCCAGAAAAGGGCGGGCAATCCGCCCAGTTGATGGCCATGCTTATGGAGGGCAATCACATGCTGCTCGTGCGCCGGAGCTGCAATTTTCAATTTATGATTAAGATGCAATTTATGAAAATAAGAAGATAGCAGCTTACCCTCGACTACTTCCTTGACGTGTATGGCATGATGAATTTCCTCCATGTGTTGTTTATCCTCGGTTATATATAATATTGCAGTAAGTGGTTCAGTCAATTTCACAGGGAAGTCTCGGCGGCTTTGACTACAGCAAAGAGATGCAGATAAGTTAAGAACTCATATTAGCTTATGGTAGATATTTACGTCAACAGAATTGGTTCGTCCAGACAGCCGCCATCGCAGGCATAGTAACTGCGATCGGAACGATCTAGGGCCACATTGATAACCGCCTTGTTGTCGTCCTTAACAATGATGGTGACATTGACATGTGTCTTGTTGCCGTAGTTGAGGCGTCTGAAGTGAAAGTCGCGATGCAGGAATTTCGGATGCATATTGCATTCCAGATGCTGATTGCTAAAGCGAAAGCTGCCGAAACTGAGTGTCATCGCTTGAATGACACCCGAGGCGCCGGCACGGATCAGATTGTGGCAGCCTTGCTTCTCTAATGTCAGCATCCAGGAGGACACTAGCGAATTGAGTTGAGTCAGCGTAGACATGTCACGCCACAGATTCTCCGCCTGCAGCGTATGATACGAATCATAGCAGCCTTCCGCGTATGTTAAAGCCTTGGCAATGTCCTCACGCATGCCCGCAGTGCCTGAGCCGGAGACGGCGCCCACTTCTTCGAATTCAAAACTGCGCACTTGTGAGAGCACCGCATACATGGTTGCATTGATGCGATCACCATTTAAGCTATTGTCCGCCTTGGAAGTGCTTATCGTAAAACCGGTTGCCCAAAGATCCGTCCACACATTAATGTGCTCCTGCCGATACGAATTGATGCTGTACTGCGAACCGGATCCGGATGCCTTGGCGCTGAGTTTCTGTAGTAACTTTGTCATGGCCTGTATTGAATGCTGTTCAATGGTGTCCGATGTGGCTTTGAACTGAGCCTCCGTCACTGGCTTAGAATACTCGATGACTAGTGGATAGATGATACGCACAGTGCCCCGTTTGCGCAGCTGTACTTTCGGTTCGAGTTGTGGCTTAACTATACTAATTACAATCAATTTACTGGGATCATCAGCCGACGGCTGAACCGTGCCCGTAATAACTTCCAGGCCATTATAAGTGAACATGCCTATCTGTGCTTCATCGCTGTAATTGAACATAGTTAAACTGTGTGCGAGATCTCTGTGAGGAATTGGGCACTTACCTGAGCGGAATGCTGCGCGTTGTGAACTTGGGCAGACGATTGCGTGGCAATATAAGATCAATGCTCTCAACCACGTTGCGTGTATTAGTGATTTGCAATTCTTGCATCAGCACATTGGGCTGTGTGCGATGGGCGTACATTGTGTACGACACAAAGTAGCCGGCAAAGCATTGAAACCGATGCACCATTCCCGTCAGATACTCCACAACGGTGGCCTCCTTCTCACCAGCCGTTGCACCCGGTTGTGACACGGATAGCACTGGCTGGAAACGTATGAGTAGCTGCATCGCCCGGCCATGTTTGATATTCAGGGCAGCGTCGGCGGCCACCTCCAGGCCAATATAACCGTTGCCCACGTAGGGCGTGTAATCCCGCTCACCCGGCAGCAGCGGCGACACGTGACGAATATTCGCGTCATACTCGTAGTTTTGCAAAATGTAGGGCGTTAGACGGTCGTCCATGCACATGCTGTGCGGATCTATTAATGTAATTTGGTTAGAAAGCGAGTTGTGGCATGGTAAAGAAGTTGGATAACGTTACCTTTCTGCTCTGTTGGGTTTAAAAATAAATAACGAAAGATTGGTGGCAGCATATAGAACACAATGCACACGCACAACAAAAGCAGAAACAAACGCCGGTATGACGTTAGGGTGCCTTCGGCTAAACGCTTTAGTCTTCGCACAACATCCACTGTCTCGAATTTGTTTTTGGCTGATCGGAAGAACATATTGATTGCGATTTAACCATTTAATTTGCATTTGAATACACTTTTAGAATTTATAGTGCTTGGCCGTAAGCTGTGGCCAAACACTGAAATATCTAACTCCCATTAAATATCGATATATCGATACACCTTTAGACAATAATTTACACAAACTATTATCCACTACCAACGGTTTTTATTCAACTTAAAAAAAATGGCATTATATCTTGGCTATATAATTTCGGAGTTAAATTTATGGCGAATATATGTTCTTATTTGATAACTGGGCTATTTAACCCGTATAAGCAATGCCATTATTATGGGTTATCGTCGACCTTTTTGAATTATCGATCGATAAATTTATGTTTCATTGATATCCCAAAGATCACCTCTAGATTACAGACTTGTTATTGTTAATTGTGAGGAAACATGTCCAACAACACATCCAATTCGTGCTCTAAAAAGTACATGAAAAAGAGATATCTCTTTTTGTTTCCGCTGTTTGGTTTGCTGTTGATTTTAATTGTTAAATACTCGACTGAAACTGGAAACGAACTTGATGCTCAGTCGCTATCCGAATGTTTATTTTGTAAGATTGCCAAGGGCACGTTCTCAACCACAAAACTCGAATTTGAAGACGAGGAATTCGTAATTTTTAAGGATAAAAACCCAGCTGCTAAGATCCACTATTTGGCTGTTCCCAAACAACATTATGATAGCATTAAGGCTTTGAATAAATCCCACATCGGCCTAAGTAAGTTTGGGTAAGCTTATTAACATATTTAATTTATGTATAATTAATCCATATTTATACCAAATTTACAGTTGAGCGTATGCAGAATGGAATGATCAATTTTCTGAAATCAAAAGATGTGGATTTATCAGTTGCAGTTATCGGTTATCACGTGCCTCCGTTTATCTCACAAAAGCATCTGCATCTACATGGAATATCGCCCGTTTCTGAAATGAGCGTCTCAAATCGGATAAGCTTTTTTATGCCATCGTTTTGGTTCAAGTCGGTAAGCTAGAAATACAAATTCTTAATTTTGCACATAACCTTTATTTTGATTGTGTGTAGAGCCAAGATGTTCTCAGATCCTTACAACGTTCTGACCTTAAGTGATGATTGGAAGATTGATTGGTTTCTCCCCGGAGGCAGAGATGGTTTTTAAACTGACAGATGAACGGATCAAGAATAAACACAAGTGATCTCCTCGTTATACATTCCTTAAAAAAACCTATTCAGAAAGTAATGTTTAAACCAAAACATCCCGTCAGAAACAAAAATAATTACAAATTAATAAGTGCTTTTTATTTAAAAGACCATAGAGGGGAAAGTGAATAAGGTATGTATATAAACAAATAATTACGAACTCATGTAAATAGACAACAAAAAGGTTTTTAGAAATATATGTAACTATGATTAAAATTTAACGTCGTGGCAGTCGCAGGTAAAAATCTTTCATAATGGGTCAAAATAAATTTGGCAATAGTCCAAGCAGTGCTCAAGCGATGCTAATATCGCAGACACATACACAAGATATCGATAGTGTTATCGATTGTTTTGCAGCACTGAAAGCCAGCAGCAGCAGCAGCACCAGCAAACGCTGAGTTTTGGTTTGTTTTAGTTACAAGATTCGCAAAAACGATTTGGGAAATCAGCTCAATTAAGTTGCAACTGAACGGATTGGAGCGCTTCAAACGCAGTGCGTTCAAAACAATCGCAGCATGTGGCCGCAAACGCTGGAAATGTCCCGCGACGAGTGTCGGGGTATGCTGCGTCGACTTGGTAGGTGAAATGCTGCTCCGGCCAGCGCCAGGAGCACACTTTCCTTTTCCATTTTATCTAACTGCAGCCCCATAGCCCATGTGCATCTCCAACTAATGCCAAATGCTCTCCATTTATTTGTATTCTTCGTGCAGAACTCGAATCGTATTCTCATCTCGTAAGCGTTTTTCGCGCCCAAGGCTCGCTCAGCGAACCAAAAGCCAAACTGCTCGAGGAGTTGCGCCAAATGTTTCACATAACCCAGGAGCGTCATCGCGCCGAGGTGCGACGTGCCACCAACGACGAGCAACTCTGCACCATTGCCGAAAAGTATATTTTATATGCAAGGTTATATATATATATGTGTAACTCTATATCCAAAATTTGCAGTGTCTGCGGACCGAACACATGGCAGGAATGGTCACGGGAAGGTCGTCGTCCATATCCCCTTCTGCCTCGCATAAGTCCCCAGACCGCATTGGCGATTGTGGCCAACGATTTGGCGGCGAAAGCCTATGCGGAAAATGCTAAACTTTCTGCGCCGGGCGAAACTGGCGCTAGTTATAGCGATGCTCTATTGGACCAGGCCACCTATTCGCATCTAAGGCATGGCATGAACAAACGACAGGAGCCACATGTGGTCATGGATGAGCCGGTGAGTCTGTCTAGCATTATATAACCAACCTCAGCCCATTTGGTGAACCTGCCCAATATGTCTACATCTACTTTTGTACATACGTGTGTATGTAGTGAAAGTACAGTCTGCGCCTGGGTCGCATGCTCTACTCACTGACTAACTGACTGACGGGGGGCTGAATGCCCCAATGAACAGACCAAGTGAGTTCTTAGTGAGTTCAATTTGTGTTCGAAGGATCTACCTAAACACACATACACACACACATGCATAAATATAAATATTTACAGGCATACAAATTGGGAGTCAAATATTCCAATTGGAATATGCCTGTCGCTTAACAGAGCCAGAGAACAAGCTGTGTGGTGTCCTCTAAGAAATTCCTGTTCCCACGTGGCGCATACTCTGACAATTCTTATTTTATTTTTTGGCAATTAGTGCCAAGTGTCGCTTATTATTTTGTTATGTGTATTTAATTAAATTTGATTGAACTCCGCATCGCAGCAAACAACCAGCGCCAGTTAACAGCATCAGTGTGCTGTTAAGTAACATAACCATACAGTTACAGCTCGATATGCTATGATCCAGTAATCGAAATCGATAAGAATGTTAAAAGTGGGGTGTTAAATTTGACTTAAAAAAAAACGATTTATTAATATTTGTTAATTATGTTGTTGATATTTGATGATTATGTTAAATTACTTTAAATTTTACGATTATCGTTAACAGTTCAAGGTACCCGATTTGCCCAGCGAAATAAAGAAGGCGACCCTGAAGCGAAAAGAGAACGATGCGGGCGACGCGAAACCGAACAAAAGGCGCAGCACACATCATGATAAACAGCACGGTCAGACGCAACAGTTGTCGTCGTCCCAACTAAGTGCTGGTGGCAAGGACGAAGACGGTCAGATGGCGCCGCTTGAACAGCGTCCCAGCGCCCGTACGCTGCAGCAGCGGTATTTCTATCAGCAACAGCAGAAACACAAGCAGCGAATGGCCAGCAAAAAGGGGCCCAGCAATAGATTGGGTGCCAACAGCGGCGTCGCTGGTGTCGGCGCCAACACGAAGCCTGCAAAGAGCGGCAGGCGACGGGCACAGAAACAGCTGCAACAGCAGATGCAACAGAAACAGCAACAACAACAGCAACAAGAACAACATCAGCAACAGTTGCCACATCAGCAACATAAAGTATTATTGCCGTTGGGGCCACCACCGCCAGCAGGAGAATCACCAGCGACAGCACATCCGAATGCCAATCATCTAGTGCAGCCGCACGTGGAATACATACTCGACGAGGCACTCAAATCGGTGGCTGCCACCAAACTGAAGACGATACCCGCTGCACGCGTTGTCTACGGACCGCCCGAGGTGCTCTCGCCAACATCGACGCGTGCGTTCATAAACTCACCCATTGTCTTCAAGGAAAAGTTGTCGCCGACACCGCAAGCAGTTGCCGTACCCGTTTCCGTACCCTTGCCCGTGCTGCAGCAACAGTTGAGCACTCCGGTTAAGAAATACATTGTTGAGGAGCGTCAGTCGATTGTCGTTGGTGGCAGTCAGTCTGTTGCTGCTGCTACAACTGCACCTGCCAATGTGTCAACGGCCAATCTGCCACTGGCACCGCAAATAATAAGCGTGCAACAGATTGCGGCGCCCCCAAAACTGCGTACAACATCAACAGCAAGCGGCAGCGGCACAACCACCACCACCACCATACTGCCAACGGGCACAAAGCTGACGCCCAAGAAAATCAATCTGCTCGACAAACATCAGTTGCCCTCCATGCCCAACACGGCATCGGTGCGCATTCTGCCTATCGAACAGCAGCAGACAGCTCCAATTTCCATCCCAGCGCCATCTATTAGCAATCTCACGAGCAGCAAATCGCCAGCAACGGCGGCAACGGTGCAAAAGTACATTGTGGACGATCGTGTGCCTAGCCAGGGACAGAGCATTACGACGCCGTTGAGCAGCAGCGCCTCTGCTGTGAACATTATTAAGAATATACCGGCCAGCAGTTTGAACAACACGCTGATTACACCACTCAGTAGCGCGACGGTGACGCTGCCAGTAGCGACGCCTCTATTTCGCAAGGCATCTGCGACAACAACAGCAGCAACAACAACAGCAGCAGGAGGTGGATCACTATCGACGCCACAGATACTGGGTAACATAAAGCTGACAAGCGGCAGCGCCATCAAACATGTGCCCAGCAGTGCACTGCGCAACATTAAGATCTGTTCGCCCAATGGAAAGGTGTTCCTGCAGCCCGCCAAGCTGCACGCCGGCAGCATAATACACAAACTGAACACGACGAATGTGGGAGCAGCGGGCAGTGGCGGTGTCACTGTGAGCAGTGCCAATCTGTCGCCGACGGTCAGTGTCACGCCTACATCGCCACAATCGTCGCCGCAGCGAATAACGATACAGAAGATGCAACTGCTGACGTCCACACAAATGATGTCGAGTGCCGGTGGAAGTGTCGTCTCCAGCTCCAGCATTGCGAGTGGCCAAGGTGCCAAGGTCAAACCCACCACGCTGACCCTGAGTTCAACTGGTGTTGGCAAGAATAATTTGGTATTTCTGCCCACGAGCGGAATGCGAGCAGTGACACTGGCCTCCAGCAAGCCCAAGTCTGGCGCTGAGCTGCTTGCAGCCAAGCCCAATGTGCTCGTCATAGGTCCATCCTCGTCCGCCAATGTGGCCAATAATGCACCACAGGCACCGCAGGTTACAACACCAACGTCCATCTTGGGTAAGACGAAGGCGCATCAACTCATCACGGAGGATACACCCATCGATATTATCAACATGCCCATCATTGTGGCCGACAATGGGACAACGGAGACGACGAAGACGACAGTTAAAGCGGCGCCGATGATGGTGCTGAATGCAACCGACTGGGAAATGGAACTGGATCAGGCATCCAAGGCGACAGCCGTTACGACAACAACACCCACAACAACAATTAGTAACGATTCAAAGGGGAAGCAGTCGCTGGATGATGCCATCATGGAGCACATAGTGGAGGAGCTAAAAGATTCCAACACGCAGCTCAAACACCGGAGTAAGTAGCTGTTGAGAGTTATATTTTGGAATTCCACTAAATCTTGTGCGTAATCTTTCAGTAATTGAACTGCACGACGATGCCGATGGTGCCATTGAGTATATGGACATGGAATTGGAGCAGCCCATTGAAATCGAGTGCACCAGCAACATATCGCCAGATTCAATGACCGGTAATGCAACAAGAAGAACAACCACAACAACCACATCGCTCAAGGCAACCATTGTGCCACCTCTGGTGCAGGAGCAGAAGAAACTGGTTGAGGCAACAACAACAACAGCAGCAACAGGAGCAGCAGCAGGAGCAGCAGCAGCAGCAGAATCGACAACGATGAAGGCGACAACGTTTTAGTGTTCATTTCTGTCATTTCGCGATTAGTTTTTGAATTTGACATTTTGGTTGCTCATTGACGGATCGGTTTTAGGAAAGCACAAAAGCAACAAAAACATATACATACACAGACCCGGTTTAATTTAGAATTAGTTATTAGCTTAGTGCCGTGCAACATTATCATTATATTGTATATGTATATGTTCATGAAAATATTTGTGAGAATCACTTGAAGAATATCGATCATGTGCTTTGCCTTTGGCTTTGGCTTTGGCTTAGGCTGTGGCTTGGCTTCAAATTAGATTATCGGACTCGGACCTTGTTTAGCGCAGTTTTTTGTATCGCCCAACAAAATGATATTTTGTTGACATCTCCAAGCTGCCACCATCGAAATACCTTAATATTTGTGTACATTGTAAATATCATTTAGTTAAGCGTTTTAAATCAAACAAAAAAAAGAAGAAAACAGGAGAAAGTCATAAGTGAAAGTGTGTTTTTAATGAGATTATAGTTTTTAGTTATTTCTTACGTATGGCCGCTAAAATTACAATCAATGTAAATATTAAAAACAAAAGAAAAAAGAAAAAAACAAAACAAAAAAAAACCCGTTGAAGAATTTCAATAAATGCTTAGAGTCAGTCATAACAATTCGTATGTAAATTGTACACTGTAAAGAAGAGTAATAGTTGAAATAAGTTACACGGAACAAATTGATAGAGAAGTAAAAATTGTATACACACATCCAGATCAACATCCACATCCAGATCAACATCCACATCCAGATCAACATCCACATCCAAACTTGCGCATAAATATATATATATATACATTTCTAACTACTACTAACTGGCAATTTAGGTGTTAAGTATTTTATGCATCGATTTTGTAAATCTAAATCATCAAGAATGTTGTAATTTTTTAGAGAAGAATTAAGAAGCGCAATCGAAGCGAACCACCAGGAGGTAAACAAAATGTAATGTAAAATACAAAATATTGTTAAACAATGCCTGCAGCTGTAAAACTTTTAACATACAAATTGTAAATGAAATAAATATAAATGTAAACAAAATGACAAATCTATCGAATTAATTTTTACAGCAATTGTCCTCTCTATTTGTTGTTGCATTTTTTATTGGCCAAACTCAACAAATAAAGAACTTTTATTTAAGGAATTTCAATTGAAAAAATGTACAGTTTTTGTTTATAAAGTTAATTACATTAAAGTATGCTGAATTTGTCATCGTTCCCCTGGCAACCTTTTACTAAAGTTCAAGAAAATCGAAATCCTATTTACAATCATTTATTCTTCGTGTATATTTGTAGAAACATCAATTTTTTAAATCATTTTTTACCATCCCCGCCGCTTAACATTTTTTTTTTTTTTACAATTGCATTAAGGTACTAAACTCATAAGGATAAAAGGATAATGAGTTGCTGTTGTTCGTAGTTAAGAGTTTGGAAATTCAGTACAGTTAACAGTTAGTTTAGAGTAACCACATTTGGGTTTGAATATATATGTAGACAGACTGATCTTAATAATTACAATGATTCATTCAATTGCGTCCCAGGGCCGTGCCGTATCCCCAAGCCGAGTTGGCAGACTGGCGGGCTGGCGGTGCTCTGCTCTCGGGCGGCACACCAAATCCACTGATGCCGCCGGACACGTCGGGCGCGATGCGTTTCCTGCGATGCGAAAAGAAAATCTTTTAAAGAGAAATCCTGGCAATTAAAATTGGAGAGTTGCAACTTACAAGAACTGTGGCGTTTCGAGGAAGGCGCTGCCGCCCAGCTCTTGTGGGTATTGGAATTTCAAGAAGTAGTAAACATGTCCATTGAAAATGCCCACCAGCGAGGCCAGAGATCCGTGGAAGATCAGCTCAATGCCCGCCAGCACCCACGGCAGATACATGGCCTTAAAGCGACTGCCGAACCAAAAGTTGACGATGACCTCCTTGTTCAGTTGGCACCAAATGTAAGTTATGGCCACGACGAGCATATCCATGAGGAAGTAGACATTGAAGACCATGCCACCGACATTGGCCAGGACAGCTGTGATGATCAATAGATACATGTAATCTGACGGACTTCTCGCATATTGATCCTTTTCCAAGCGTGCGCTATACTGTGTGATAAAGTAGCAGTTGATGAGGAAATGGAAGCCGGTGGCCCCATTCAGTGGGAACACAAACAACGAGGTTATGCAGCGCCAGAGCTGGAGGCGGGTGAAGACCAGCTCCCGGGAGAGATACATGAGTTCCACGGGCAGCAGGCCGAATCTGCAGAGCAGACTCAGGCTAACGGTTGCGGTTAGCCAGTAGCGCGTGAAGCGGGGCAGCGATTTGTACCATGTCCCAGCGTCCATCCTGTCCAATGTTTTGTTTTTTGCTTCTTATCGGTATTACTTGCAAATCTTTCTTACTTTTCCAATTGTTGATTTACGTGTCTTTAATCAGCAGTGTGACCCCACACGAGCGATACAAAAAGTTGAAAATACCACTTTGATTTGACAAAATACCAAAGGGTATTTTTTTAGTAATTTATATGCTCAAACTATTTTTACTCGTCTGGTTGCCTTCTTTTTGAAATATGCGCGTAACAAAATAAATTTGTACTTAAAGAATACGAACATACCAAAAGCAAATTTATCGATATCATGAATAATGTGTGGAGTATATGTATATACTTATAAGTGTACATAAAGAAAATAACCAAAGTTCATATATCAAAATATTATTCAAATTGCGAGAAGAAAATCTACTTTAATTCAACCATGTGGCAACCTCTGACAGTATTATGAAATCGATAATACGAATCTTTTGAATAACGCTCACATGAAGAATTTGAATTTGAGTTGACACAACGAAAGTATATAAATATTAAAAAAATAGTTCACAAAGTTTACGATTTAAATCTCGAACATGATGGTGAGCTTTGTTTTAGAATAAGTTTCTAATTTGAATATTATTTTTTAAAATGGGTCAAAGCTACCCTGCTCTTTTACGTTATTCGGATATTTGCCACAGCCACAGATAGGCAAGCCACACATAACAATGGAAAACATACGCAGCTCACTGGTGCGAAAATAATGCACAGAGGAACGCTAAAAAAACACCACTTGAAAATGTGCGCTTTTCCAACTAGCTGCACTCCTAAGTGGCAAGTGCCGAATTAATTTGGCCAACGATGTCAAATTAAAATAATTGACAAATCCATCACTGGGCAATTGATTTTATTTCTGCATCAATTTTGGTCATATTATCAAAGTCGTAAACAATTTCAACTCTAGATATATTAGCAGAAAATTTGTTTGAGAAATCACAAAATTAATTTACAAATTTAAACTAATTTATTGATATTTCAAATGGTTGAAAATTTACATTGAAAATAAATTAAAAATATTAATTAAGAACAATTTTTACTTATAAATTCTATAATTAAATTGATATGATATAAATATAAAAGCATACGCAAATGCTTAAGAACATTTATAAGTAATAATCGCTGTAATTTTAATATGTTTTTTTGCGACAATTTTAAAATTAAAAGTAAAAGTTGAGAGATTTAAAACATAAATCACATTGCAAAAGACAAAATGGAGTTTTAACTCTAAGAAACGCAAAGGACAAATAAAATAAAAAGTTAAAAAAAAACGAACGACTGCGCAAGTTTTTGCCTGTTGAATTTTAATATTTTTTGCATAATGTATAAGGATGCATGCGAGATGGAAAGAGATAGCGCCACAAGGATGAGAGTGAGAACAGAGAAATGTGCAAAAAAAAACGAGCTAATCAAGTGGTTTTTCGACCGGTTCAATGTGTGTGTGTGCGTGTGCGTGTGTGTGGGTGTGTTTGTGTGTAGGCATGTCCAAATGTCTGCATGTGTATGTGTGTGAGTGAGCAAAGACCACACCCACCGTTTAAATGCAAAATGGGTGCTTGGCTGCGAGTGTGCGACAGACAGAGATAGAGACGCATGCGCTGCCTGCCAGCCTCTTGCCTCCCTTGCCAGAGCAAGGGCAAGAGCACCGCGACAACACGCCCACATGGCCATTGCTCATTATGAAGTTGTGCTGCTGCTGCTACGGCTGCTGCTGCTGTTTTAGTAGCTGTTGACAAACGCATCGTAGATGTTTTATTTATTTACGCGTTGAGCTTTTACAGCGCCTTGCACTCACTCACCTTGCCCGATGTCATTTTGTCGTTTGCCGTTTGCCGTTTTGCTCGCTCACTTCGTTGCTATATGTATGTGTGTGCCTGTGTGTGATTGTATGTGTGAATTATATGCACAATTATATATTTGTGTATACATTTATATATAAAATCATAAGTACATAGCGTCTTACTACAAAAGCAATGCAAATATTACATAAATACGTATAAATTAAGTAGGTTCAAGTACACATTTTTGTACATTTATTCTTTTAGCAATCTTGTAGATATTTCTTGCTTTCTTCAATTTGAGCAGCTTATCAAAACTCTGTGCAAATATTCGAAGTATTTTTAAATGTAATAAACTTTTTTCGCAATGTATTTTTGTATAATTTTCTTTATTTCTCTTTTTGATCCTTCTGAAACATTTCATTATAAAGAACTTTCCGATAAAACTGTAATTTCTCTTTGAGAGCTTTTAACCTAAAAGGAAATTTGTGTTTATAACTGGTCCCATTTACTGAAATTTGAAAGGATTAAATTAATGTGAATAGCCTTAACATTTAATAGGATTAATTTGTTAAATTTAATTTAGGCTATTTTATTCTGTCCAGATACTTTATATATACTATATTAAGAATTATTTTATAGGATAATCTTATTCTTTTTTTACTTCTATTTAATATATTTTAAGTCACTTTCAATTTTGCCTGAATTTCACTTTCGACAATTGTGCTTAAGTAAAAGTTGCTGAAAGTCTTTAAAGTACCAATAAAAGGTAAAAGAGTCATAATATATTCAGGATATATTTTGAAATCAATGAATATCACTTCATTTTTGATCTACTCTTATTTCCATGGGAATTTTTAAAGCACATAAATACCTAGGTGTGTGTGTGTGTGTGTATCACGCATTGCCTTGCTGCTTAATTACAGTAATTATTTGATTATAAAATCTCCCAGGGCAGACAACCATTCCTCGCCTTTTTTATGCTAATCACAACATCTTCATTACACATACATACACACATACATACATACATACATACATACATACATACATGCATATTCCAAATAGTTCTTACAGCATGCGAAGGCATTTTCACATACATGCACACACTTATACACACATACACATATACATCTATTCATTTACGTATTTATGCATATGTATATGTATTTCACATACCTCGAGCAAACCCACAAACAACGAGATTTTTCTCCTAATAATGGCGCAGCGGGGGAAAGGTTATCGTTAAAGGGCATGGGAGGGGGGCACCCAAAAAAAAAAAAACTCACTTGTGTAAATGAGAAGTGAAAAAGAGGCAAATCATAAGAGGAGCGTGCGCCGCCAAATTGCAGTACAAATATGTACTCTCATCAAGGGTGTGGGCAGACAGAGGACAGACAGACAGACAGAGAGACAGACGTAGGGACTAACGCACTGCTTAGAAAAAGGACAGTCTGCAGATACAGCAGCTGTCACACATACACAAATACATACATAGCAAAGACTTCCCCCTCCCAAACATAGCTGATAGCCCTGCGATGGCGATATTACTAAACACACACAAACACACATCAATACAGAGAGATACGCTTACACACACACACACATACTAAGTGTATAGCAGACATATTGCGCCTCGCTCAGCCTTGCTCATTGGTGCTAACGAGAGAGAAAGAGGGAGAAAGATAGAGAGAGAGAGAGAGAGAGAGCGAGAGAGAAAGCAAAGCGTAATGATGTTCATGAATGATAATGACGTTTTGCCACCGCTTTTCGTATTTGTTTCATTTTTCGTCATAACGGTAGTTGGTCGTCACGTAAGAGTGAGAGAGCATGACAGCGCATTATATTCATTCGACGTTTGGCGTTGACGTTTGATCCGTCGGCAAACCGAATATATGTATGTATATGTGCATGTATGTGTAAAAAGTGGCGAACGCGTGGGAGAAAACAACGGTACGCGAACGCACGCGAGCAAACAAACAAACGTAGCCAAGTTTATTGCTACGCTGGGAGAATTTTGCTAAATCTGAAACTAATCACTTTGCAGTGTTGCATAACTGATAAAGCCGTTGATCTAAGAAGTAACACTTAAGTGACAAATAAAAAACATTTAATTAATATCTGCAATAAATACAAAAGTTGTCTTATTCTACTTTTATTAAACAACAAAAAAAAAGAATATACCTATAAAAATATATAAAACGTTTACGCTCACTGCAAAGTTTGACTTATAAAATATAATTATTTTATTTGCAAGTAAGAAGTTTAATACGAAGACTTGTAAGCTGAGCACATAAATACATACATTAATGCATACATATTTCCGTATCCTATTTGTGTTTTGCCTTAACTTGCTTTGACTCATAAGTAAAATATTTACATTACGAAATTGACGTCTTGAACGCGCGCGGTCGCAATTTTAATGGTTCCTTCGAGGGTTATTCCCGTGCAAATTAAACGGACAGCTTTCACTCTGTGTCTGTGTGTGTGAGCACCTGTGAGTGCGTGCGTCTCTCTCTCTCTCTCTCTCTCTGTGTGTGAGTGCAGTTTATAGAGGACTCGCTTAAGAAATATGGACTAAGAAGTCAACACACACACACAAATGTCGGCGATATGTCCTGGAGCATTTGCTGGCTTGATTAGTCTAGGACCGATTTGGCGAAGAAGTCAGTAAAAGCTTTGAAGTACTTAAGCACAAAGTCTTATATTAAATTTAAATATTAACTCAAGCAACGAGGGAAAGACATCAAACCCGGATTTTAATTAACCAAACAAATACCAAACGAATATTTGTTGAAGATCTCGCTGTGAGTTCCATTTTTGTTTGCTTATAATAATTGTTATTTAACCAACTTTAAATGAATTGTTATGATAATAAATTTAAGCAAATTTCAATATATTTATCTATATAAATAGTATAAAGTTATATTGTATCAGAAATTATGACATATGTATCAATATTTGGTTTCCACAACTTTGATATAGGTTGTTTCTATAGAAGATATGTATGTGATATGGAAGTTGGAAGATACAATTTTATTTTCATACGGGAAGAGATCTTTTGACCGATTGTATCTATTACAGCTATATGATTTAGTACTGCTATTCGATCGTCTTCGATATTTCTGCCTATTTAAAATAATAGAAAGGAATTTAAAGGCAGATAGGTAAATAGCTAGATATAAAGCTTATGCCTATAGATCTTTATTAATTTCCATTATTTAAGTCGTTAATAGTACTTGTGAGCTTCTTTTTAATTAATTAGAATTTGCCGTTAGCTTCCTGCAATGAAATGCATTCAAATTCGATGACTCTTCATTAATCTACTAATTCATTGAAGTAATTAATTACTGCGATATAGCCATGTCCCTCTGCCAATTTGCCTGGCTGTTTCTATGCGAAATCGTTTGTTACTTTTAAAGATATTCTGATGAAACTTGTAACATATTCGACTTTCTGCTGCAGACACTACGAATATCGAAGTCAGCCGGATTGGATATCAGACTGATGCCACATCGGTTGACGATGAGTTCTTACATGAGACACTTTTTCTTTAGCAATTTATTCGATCCAAACTTATCAGTTATGAGTGTTATTATGTTCTTAATACTTCCACAAATAATGATGACAATCAGATTAATACATCATATAGATTTGAGAATGTTGAGAAATGTTTGAATATCGCAGCAACGATTAAGACTTAAGTATCGCTATATCGATTAGTATCGAATATCTGGTCACGCATGAATTGTTATTTTTCTTCCTGCGTTGTATTTTTCCTAAGTTCAAAAGTTGCTCTCAATTCTTCAACAAGTAAAGACGCACTCGCGCATAATAAAAATAATCCATAATCAGAAACTGCGTTTAACTCTTCATTTTTCCACGCCATTTACAACAGAGAACAGCAATCGCTTGGATTTTAAAATATACTGGGTCTTTTACAGCTCGGCAGGTTGACTCCGGTCTGCAAGGGTACCTAATCTTCGACGAGACTTAAATTCTGTCTAGCTTCTTGAAGATGCCTTATTGGTGATATCATCGTTAAAATCACTTATGACTAAATTAACACGAAATCATCAATATGAATTTCAAATGTATAAAAAATATAAAGTTATAGTTTATTTCTTGGAATAACACACACATTTCACATTTTGGCTGAATTACCCACTCGAATTCTTTCCACTTGCCCCAGAGGCCACTTTTGGGCTGTCGCATCAAAAAAATAAAACCCGTCGACAGCACTACTTGACGAGAAGCCTGTGGAGACTCGAGTCCTGTCTAGCTGTATGTGTGTGTGTGTAAGTGTGTGTGAAATGAAATGAAAAGTGTCTAAGCTCGCAGCTGAGCTGAGCGCAACAATCTGTGCAGAGTTCAGTCGTCGTCGTCCATCAATTGTTAATGTCACAGACGCACAGCGTGCATGGCCAGAAAGTGGAGGATGCGAGATGAAGGATGGAGGGAGGGAGAATGAAGGATGAGCACAAGTTGTACACTCAGCATGGTGGCCACAACTTGGAGTCATTTCTGCTATTTAAATGTCGTTTTTCTTCGCGCGCTTTTCAATTTTTAATTGGGATTTTCGTTGATGCTGCCTTCGCTGTTGATGTTGCTGCTGCCATTGTTGAGTTTTTGTTTGTGCAACGCCTTAGCAAGGACTTGCTTGCCACATGCTACTGCGACAGCAGAAGCAGAAGCAGTCTCCCTCGCAAATTGCTTGGCTTGCTTACCCGGTTCGCTTGAGTGGTTAAAATGTCTTACGGTTAGTCGCCGTCATCGCCACGTGGTTGTAAAATGCGCTTTTCAATATATTCCGCTGCTCGACAATGAGTAAATAAACTGCTTGGCTTGGCTATGTGTGTGTGTGTGTGCTGCTGCTTTTTAGGGTTCAACATATTTACCGATTTTTCGTGGTTTTTTGATTTCCTGACACGGGTACGACGGCAATCATTGTGACATTTTAATTGTTTATTTGCGCTGTTTGCGCATGCGGCTGCTACGAATCCAGGGACCACGACCAGGACGAGGACGAGGACCACGACCAGGACCACGACCAGGAGCAGGACTACTGCAACTACTCCTGCTGTATGTATACATCTGTACTATGTACTCAAGTGCTTGCCAGTTTTGCCGGGCTGGCAGAGGTAATTGTTTTGAAGTTTCATATTTTGACAAAAGATTTGCGGGTGAGGAGTTTCTGGTTTGGTTTCCTAGTACTTATCCCAATGCAAACGAGCTCTCCTTTTCCCTCTCTCTCTCTCTCTCTCCCTCTCTCTCTCTCTCTCTCTGTGTGCTGTGTTGGTTAATGTAAATATTTGTTTTTTATTGTCATTTGAAGTACGCTTCTGTACTGTTCATTATTATTTTTTCTCCTTATCCACATGTGACTTCAAACATTTGTGAAGAGCGAACTTGATTGCCAGCATTACTTTAAGTTTAAAAAACACTTTAATTAAACATAAAACTTTTATCATTGGATAGTTTTTATTTTAAGAGAGAACTCGTTTGTCAGCATTACTTTAAGTTTAAAAAACTCTTTGGCCAAACACATAAATGTCATGTTTATCCGGGTTTTACATAAGACAATTGGTATCTGTATACCAGCGGTGAATACAATAAATAAATATAAGAAATCAATTGTTTTATTTAATAATTATTATACGAAACGTAATATGTGCAGTATTTCTTAGCATATTTAACTAATTAACTAAGGCAGAAAAATTATAAGAAAATTTGCAAAAATATGTTAAAAATAGTTTTGTCACATAAATAGAACATTTTCGAAAAGGATGGTTCCTAATTTGGGTTAATAATACATCTCATTCAATATGTGGATTATATTCTGAGTTTTGAATAGCTGCTTCACATTTTTGACTCATATTCTTCAAGAGCTTTTTCCGTTCATTCTTTGAATTGAAGAATTTCAACCTTTTTGGTTTGACATCCACAAAACATCTAGATTAATAATATAATAAACAAATATATTCAAAGATTATGTCAATACTATTTTGCAATTGATTGATTGTTATTGTTGTTGAACCATTTTGTATTTTAACACCACCAGATTTATGAAATTCTTTATTTTATCTTTTAAATTTTATTTGTAACTTTAATTTACATTTTGAATTTAATTAAAAATTTATATTTCTCAAGAGTTTATTAAAAATGTTGGGGTATTTTTAGTCCACATAAAATATTAACAAAAAACCTGGAAACAAATATTCGAAATTTAGTTTGAGAACTATAAATGTATAGCTTAAAATATAAGCTGGTCTGATTAAAAGAGCTTATGAAAAGTATCAGTATTCAATGAAATACAACGAAAATTGTTGAGCACCACTTGAGCCACTGTCGAAATTTTGAAAAAAATCAACAAGCAAATGAATTGTAACAATTTTGAATTAGAATCAGAATCAGCATAACTACCACCAGCAAGCAGCAGGCAGCAAGCAGCAACCAGCAGCAACACCAACCATTTACACATTCACACACTGTGGTGGGGCATGCACCCTCATTTTAAAGAAGCAACAACACAATCAAACATTTATGCCTAATAAGGGACGGGAGCAGCAGCAGGGCAACACTGCTGCACATATGGAACTTTATTAGATACAAATTCTTTGGATTTGCCTTTCGGCTTCGTTGGCTGTTAAATGCTACCCATCTCTCCCTCCCTTTCTCTCGCGCTCTCTCTATCTCTATCCCTGTCCCTTTCTCTCTGCACTGTCGATGCTCATGTAATAAACGGAATAAAAAAATGCGTGACGTCAACCATTTTTGGATAGTTGCTCTGTTTTTTTTTGTTGCTTTTTTTGGTATTCTTTGGGTGCAACAAAGGGGTTGATGTGGCAACGGCATAATGTAGCTGCGCCCGCTGAGGGCCCTGAACGATTTGTTGCAATTTTATATGGATCGCCGTGTGTAGCCATTTTTTGGTCCCGATCCCGTTGAGCTCTGACTACCCTTAAAGCGCACTCGCCGCTGTTTCAAGTGCGCAAAAGGTTTTGAACTTCTACACAACTATTAGCGCGACTCTGCAGCGGGGTTCGTTCGTTTGAAAAACCCGCAATTAAGTATGCGTTTTTTTTTTTCTTCTTTCATTTTTGCTGTTGTTGCTGTTGTTGTTGCACACATTCAGCGTCCGCCCCTGTTTTTTTGCTGTGCAGCACGTTGCTGTTGTTGTCGATCCGTGTAACTTTTGTTTATTACGCGTAATTGCAGTTACTCTTACTCCAACTCCAGCTCTCCATGTGTGTGTGCCTTTTGTGCGCTCCTTTTGCAGCTGCTTTCATTTCCAGCCGGCTCTGCTCTTTTCCACGCATGCATGTTCCATGGGGCGAATGCTTAATGTCGTTTTTGCAGCACGTACTTCTTCTACTAGGCAATGGGTCAGATAATGACTTAAGCAAACACTGGCAAGATTCCTTTAAGCGCATCGATTACAATGAGTTAATATGTCAAATTAATAAAAACCATTTCACAAATCTTTTGGAATTTATGTTGCTTGTCTGTGTTCTACAAATGAATGCACTATTTACTTGCAATATGATTATTCCAAGCAAACTCAATCTTTATATAGGCTAAATTAGACTCAGCAAACATATTTACTAAGCTTAAAGTGTTGTCAATTTTTCAAGGGAATAATTCAAGTTTTTGTATGAAAATAATTTTCTTTTTTTGTAAAATATAGAAAATATTGAACCAAGCTGGCTAGATAAGCGTGTTTTAATGATTTTTAAATGTTGACAAACATATTTCAATACTATATCTACTCTATGTATCCGTTTTCTCTAAAGAACAATTTTTTTTT